TCGGAATTTTGCACTGGTGGTGAGGTAATCTCTTCCTCTAGCTTTCTCAGGGAATTTTTTTATGGTCCGACAATAATTTTTTTTGTATATTTTTATCGTGAGTTCGACCAATCCTGTGTGGCACTGGGCTTTTTCGAATTATATGATTTTACTGAGTAACACACGAACGCGTAAAATATTCGATAACAATTTTATTAATCGACGGAAGTAAATGAAAAGGAATTGAACTAACTGAGCTCTAGAATAATGTTAAAAATAATGTCAATGAACAAACTGGAATACAGGAATTAGAACTTCTTCTTAGTGGGTCGGGCAACTTGGGATATGTTTCTTCAATCGTACAACCTCGACGTGTGTGACCGATGGTGGTGTCGATACACTTTCGCACAACCCTGGCCTGTTTTCACTGGGCCGTCGAGTCTGGTCGGCTTTCGCACAGCCAAGGGCCTGTTTTCATTGGGCCTGTCAGTCAGTCGGTCGGCTTTCGCACAACCTTGGCCTGTTTTCACTGGGCCGTCGAGTCTGGTTGGCTTTCGCACAACCAACACAAAACAACAAGAGTCAGAACAACACTGGAAACAAATTGTGTGACTTTAGTACGCGTGCGAAACTATGCCAATGAGCATAGAGTCTCGTACCAAATCCACTTTTGAGAACTTAAGACGTTTCTGAAACTATGCCAATGAGCATAGAATCTCGAATTAAGTCTCTTAGATACCAGAATAGGCACCGATTATTCGAAGCTGCCTAACTGGTGAACCCAAGGCGGACTCTTTTCGAGAACTTAAGACGTTTCCGTGCCAATGAGCATAGAATATCGAATTAAGTCTCTTAGAGACCAGAATAGGCACCGATTATTCGAAGCTGCCTAACTAGTCAACCCAGTGCGGACTCTCTTCCTCCTATTAAGATAAGGAAACTCTATATCAAAGCAAAATTAGATTTTGTTTCGGGTGTTTTTAAACATAAAAATTTCCAAGGTATGTCCAATTAATCAAACTACTAATTAAATTTTAAAATAATTTGTAATAATTTACGACGTCATCTAAATTGCAAAACAAACAAAAAATCGTCTTGTCACCTATCGAGTAAATTAACTTGCATCAGGCCCCCTATCGAGTGAATAAATTTTGCGTTGAAGGACTTTGAAGTATTTTTAGTCAGTATTATTTCATAATTCTGACAATATATATATATATATATATATATATATATATATATATATATATATATATATATAATACATAATTCTACATTCCTTTGCTGAAATAGAAATTATGAATGGTTTTTGTATGTAAGTAAATGTAGTAAATGTAAACTGTATATTAATTTTTTATATTATGTTACAATTTTTTTAAAAGATTTAATAAATTAATCTATTGCCTGAGATTGTAAAACATATTTGATACGATGAAGAAGTAGAACAAGTCCTATTCATACTTGGACAGGCTGTCAGGACACCGGGAAATTCCTGGTAAGCCGGCGGCTGTCAACTACTGAAAGAAAGTTATTATATTTTTAGTTCTAACTGAAATTATGTTTGTTTATATGAAAGATTCAAATAACTGTTTGCATTGAAAATAACAAACTGAAAATGCAAAAGTCTAAATATATTTTTTTAATAAGCTTCCAAAGTCTGTGGTTATAATCTACAACATATTAATTTCAACACAAAATTTTGATTCAATTTTTTAAGTAGCTACAAATTTCTTAAAATTTGCAAACAATGAACAAGAAAAAAGTCTCGACATTCAAGTGCAGGTTTTAAAGGAAGGAAAAAATATAACCGACCATACAATCACTTAAAAGTGTGAAAGATAAATTTCATGTGAATTTCATATGAAAAACAGACAAATGTAATAAAAATAGAAAACATCCTTGGAGAATTGAAAAATATGAGCAGAAAAAAGAAGAATTTATGGTATGAATGCAAAAGGAATCGGTTTAGTGATCATGTTAAAGTCTTAGAATACAAAGCCATTAATAAAGAAATAAAAAAATTGATAAGAAAATGTATAAGAAATTTTGAACAAAATTTAGCAAGAGATGCAAAAAAACATCCTAAAAAATATATGCCTATATGAATGGAAAAATAGTCATTCGAGACTCTATAAAAGCTATAAAAAATTTTGATGGTTCTGTAGTAACAAATGGACATGCAATATCAAATATTTTGAACAATTATTTCAGCTCTGTCTTCACAATAGAAGATAAAAATAATTTTCCTACTTCTCTACCAAAAACAAATGCTATATGCACAGACCCATCTTCTGATGAAATCGTTAATCAAGACTAAATTAAGAAATTTAAATGTAAATAAAGCTATTGGTGTAGTTATGTACATCCTAGAATTCTCAAAGAGTGCTTAGAAAGTCTAGCAAAATCACTGAAAATATTATTTGATAAATCATATTAAAACGGTAATGTGCCAGAATTTTGGCTGTGCTAACGTTACACCCCTATATAAGAAACGTAATAAATTAAATCCATCAGACTCTAGACCGGTTTCTCTAACATTTGTAGTTTGCAAAATAATGAGGAGTATAACAAGAGATACACTAATGAAACATCTAAATGAAAAAAGAACTAATTATCAAAGAACAATATGGTTTTGTAAATAATAAAAGCTGTTGCACTAATTTATTAGAAACATTCGGTTTAATAACAGAAGCAAATGAACATAATATACCTGTCGACATAGCATTTTTTGATTTTGCTATTTAGCTTTAAAGCTTTTGATTCTGTACCACATGAACGATTATGTATAAAATTAGAAAATCTTGGTGTTAAAGATAAATTGTTAGGTTGGTACAAAGCATTTTTAAGTAAAAGAAAGCAAAGAGTGGTAATGGGGGAGTATGTGTCAAGCTGGATAGATGTCCTGAGTGGGGTTCCTCAAGGGTCGGTATTTGGAGCATTACTATTCGTGGTGTACGTCAATGAACGTCAGAAATAATTGTAAATTATATGCAGATGACACAAAGATTATTAAATTAATAGAAGATGATAAAATTAATAATAATTTACAGAATGATTTGGATGAAATGTTTAATCGGTCAAACAAGTGGCAGGTGAAATTTAATACTGAAAAATGTAAAATAATGCATATTAGTAGGAATAACCCTAGATTTGATTACTATATGTATAATGATAGAAAAGAAAAAAGAAAATTAAATGAAACTGAACTTGAAAAAAACTTGGGTATTTATGTGTCAAATGGTCTGAAATAAAGGAACGTGTATATTGGGAAAGCAAACAGAAAACTAAGCATGATTAGAAATTCTTTTCAGTTTCTAGACTAAAAATCACTAAAACTGCTTTATACATCACTGGTAAGACCACACCTGGAGTATGCGGCTACAGTCTGGAATCCATATCTAACAGGAGACATAAAAGGAGACGCCCCACGTTGGGCGCCAATTGTGAACTTTTGCCGCGCGGCGAAACTTTTTCTTTGCTCGAATATCAACAGCCGCCGCCGCCAGCCTAGGCAGTCCTGCTTCTGGCCGGGACTCGCCTCTTCACAACTTTTTATTTCCGGGTCGGAAAATACGGGCCGGTATTATCGCGCCCTGCTTGCTGGTTGGTTAATCTGGCCCTATTAACAGCTAGCAAGTCTTCTTCAAATTTTAGTTTTTAAAAGTGACAGACCAAGCCTAACTGAAATAATTCTATTAATGAACCAAAAATAAAAGAAGCAAAATAATATTCCTTAAAGCAAACAAAATAATACTCTTTAAAGCAGATGTTTCTAAAGTCAACTAAATTAAATGTTCTAAATAAACAAAAAAAATATTTTTACCAGCCGTAACAAATGAAATCCCAAAACAAAAAACAACCGTCCGACCAATACAACCACGATAAAACAAAAGACTAATTCACAACGCCATTCCAAAACACCAAATTATAACACTAACTTTCCTTTTTTTCTACAATTGTCCAAAAGGTTTATATACCAAACAAATTCTAAACAAACTGAGAAACATTCATTCTCAACCATACTCACCATATATGCGCCATACCAACATTCAACCAACCTGCATACAAAACCAATTCATACGACATTCGACCAGACTGCCCACCTGACCACAACATGCGCGCCAACATACACACTTGCGCCATTCATTCCACATGCGCGCTAAAAAAAACTCACAAAGTTAGAGCAAGTTCAGAAAAGAGCAACCAGAATGTGTAAACTAAAAAACTTACCATACCATGACAGATTAAATATGATTGGTTTAACAACGTTAGAAAAAAGAAGAACCAGAGGTGATCTAACTCAGATGTACAAATTTGTAAGTGGCACAGATGTAATAAACTGGCATAATGAACCGATATTCGTGTTTGATCCAAGAACAAGAGGACATAATAAAAGATTACGAATGGAAAAAGTTAAAAAAGAAAACTGCCGAAAAAAGTTTTTTACAAATCGTTATAGTCAACAATTGGAATAACTTATCTCAGGAAGCAATTGATGCAAAAGATTTGAATATTTTTAAAAACTGTATAGATTGATTTATTGAATGAATAATTTAAAGCTGTTACAGTCACGTTACTACTGTAACCTGACTCAATGCACACACGTGCATCACAGCATATTGTTATTATTATTATTATATGTTCAAAAACATGCTCTGGAGTTCCTCTGAGCATGGTGGTCTTTATGCTGCGTTACCTTGTTTATATGCTAGAAATTTTGCAGAAATTTTGAAAGAATGCCTAGTGATGTACTGCAGCAGTTAAGTGTGTTGCAAAAAAAAAAAAATTCAAACAACTCTCAAAGATGGATATAATTTGATCTTTGAAATGGAAGTATCAGACATCGTTTCAGACGACATTTGACAATCTGAATCAGTTAAATTACTTAGAAATGTGTACGCCATCCCATTAACTGATAACGACAACAATCGCGGATATAAAAGCAAATCTTGCAAAAAATGTATTGTTTGTGTCTAATTTATTCTTCAGAAGTTTTATTTGAATCTGGCTTACAAATTTGTTTTGAAATTATCCTTCCCAAGTTGCTTGTGAAAGTGCGTTTTCCAAATTGAAATACATATTGAACAAATTACAAATTTCTTGATTTGCTCAGCAAATTTCTTGAGCAAGTCAACTTTACAAACAATCACGTTGATGTATTACAAGAAGTACCTTCCCCAAGAATCAATAACAATGAAATTGTTGACATGTTAGTGAAACAATAAAAAAACTGTTTGTAGTTAATAGAAATTTTAGACTTTATTTTCTTAAATTCCAACTAGGTGGTAATTTAAGTGCTTAAACTTGTTTTGCATAATTACAAATTTAAACAAGTAGTAAAAGCATTCAAGTAGTTTTTGAATTTTAAAATTTCATTGTTATGCTTTAATCAATCATAGAAACTTAAAAAAAAATATAAAAGTTGAATTTATTTAAAAAAATTTATGTGAAATTAATAATGATGTGGGCCGCCATGACCAATTTTTCCGGGTTGGTTTTTTGAGCCAATCCAACCCTGGTCCTATTATAATTATAATAAAGTATATTACTTTTTTTTATTGTGTTGAAGATTCTTTACTTATCTAGAATAAAATCTGCCAAAAATAAAATTATCTGAGATTAAAAAACTATCGTGATTTTTTTTAAACAATTTTAATCAACTTAAACATAAATTTAACTTAATTTTTTATGGATTTACATGCATTGTGTTTCAAAGTGTGCAAACATTTTTTAACATAAGTTCAATGTTTTCAATAAACTTTTAAAATACATGTTTGTTTTTCACTACACTTAATTTTTCTATCCAGATGAAAGTAAGCTCAGTAAATTTAAAGAAATGTTAAGACTTGGTTATCCTTTAAGATCTCCAGATCTCGTTGTGTACAAAAACTATGCTTTATGCTACGATCAGCAGAAAAAAATCCCACATTGGGTCCTTGAATTGTTGGTCGAAAATGATTTGAAAGGTTTAAAACCGGTTAAGCTTTTCTAGTGTCTGATTCTTTTATAACAAATTACATTTTTATGTTTATAGGAGATGGTAATAGGAATAAATCAAACTTTAAATCTGACCCAAACTTTTCTGTAATATTTTCATCGCAAAATGAAGATTATTTGAAGAGCGGTTGGTCTCGAGGACACATGGCTGCAGCTGGCAATCACAAGTATGATCAGGTGATGTATTTTAAGTATTATATTAACCTTGCGACGACGGGAATTTTTTGTTTTCACTGATGCGGGAATTTTTGTTTTGACTGAGGACAAATGAAATGGGGTAGATTTTTGCCCCAAGATTAAAATTGATATCAGTAACCTCATAATATATATATGATAGAGTAATATTTTTTTTAATAAAATACGTTTAAGAAAACATTTAATTGCAATAAAATATTTTGTAAGTATAGCGTTCTATTCTTAAGATTTGATATGATGTAAAATTTTTCTAAAAACAAAATTAAACGGTTCGTGTTCATTTTTAAATTTTTAATACTATTTTCACATTTAAAAACATGCTCTCTACATGTCGATTTGTAACATATTATAGATGCCAGTGCCATTTTTCTTATTTTTTACTCTAGGACAAACATAACATCTACCAGCTTTTGTGACCACTGAGGAGTTCTAGTCTCTACCATCAGTTTCTTTTGACTCGAATCAATCATACTCTATAAAAATTGTTAAAATAATTTTAAATTTTTTAGGTAAATTACAATTTTCTTATAAAATTACCTCTTCAAGTTGAAGAAGGAATAATCTTCTCTTATGTGATTTTTAGAATTCTAGTCAGGATTCAACATAACCCACACAATATATGCATTCAAAGCACTTATATCTAACATGTTACTAAACGTTGCCGTTGGCCACCTTCCAGTCATTCGTTTGGCAGTATACAACCCTAGCATTTGATCTGTTGTGTCAACTCCTCTTGTGGTTGAATTGTAATCTAATCTAGAATGGCTTTTTTACTAGCAGATGTGTGTTGTCTATGTCATATGGATATGCATACTACTCAACGTCGTTACAATCTTCGCCTTTTTTGGGCAATATGACGATAAAGCGCATCATTATGAAAAGCAAACTTGGAAGGAAACATATCTCTACCATTTGGTTTAATGAATTCAAATAGTATTTCTTTTTTGTTTTCTTCTCACTGTTCTTGATAAAGTAAGATTGACACTTTTTCAAAGTTTGAATAAGAGATCAATCATCCAATCCTCATTTAGTCTCCATCCGTTATGGGCCGGACTTTTTTATTCCATTCATCAGTTTCTGTCTCCAAGCCGATCTTTCCATTGCGTCTGTCTCCTTGAGACCAAGTGCCTTCAAGTCCTCCTGTATGGTCTGCGTCTAGGACTTCTTTGAGCGACCTCTTGGGCGGGTACCAGGCACCTAGTGCTCAGTAACGGAAATTATTGTATCGTTTTCGCTTTGCTTCACATGGCCAAACCATCGTAGGTGATGACGACGACATGCATCCTTCAACGTGCACAGTCCCGATCGGTTCAGGATATCGGTTGTATGGATATCGTCTTTTAGGTAAACATTCTGCATCTAACGAATCATTTTCATGTCAGTTTGGTGAAGCTGCTGTTCGAGTTTTGTTGTCATCGGCCACGTCTCTGCACAATACATCAGAGCAGAACGTATAGCTGTGTTGTATAGCTCTGAGCACAGCGGTAGAGGAATTCTGCGCCGCATCAGTACCGAGGCAAGAATTGCCATTTGCCCCACGCCGCACGTATGCGTCCACGAACGGCGGCATCAGCTGTTCCCCTACAATCCAGCACATCCCAAATACTGAAATGAAGTAAAGGTTTTGATCCAGATAATCGTATCATCATCTGGGCCCCGTTGAGGCAGGTTGATGCAGGCGGGGCATACAAAATTAGTCACTTTTCAGTGAGCCGGTAATTCTCGAGCATCATCTGTGACACCACTGCTGACATCGTAGGCATTTGATTGAATTGCTTCCAACTCCAGCCCCAAACACCGAACATGGCCAATGACCAGAGACCACAAGCTCAGCGGTACCACGGTGATCATAGTTTTTGTTTTGTCAAGGTTTATCTTTAGCCCGTGTTCGGTGAGCTGGGTATTCCAGACCTCAAACTTTCTGGCTACGTCTTGTTCCGAAGCCGCCGTCAGGACGATATCATCTGCATATATCACATTCCACATGTTATCTGATCGTATCGGTTTGGTTATTTTCTTCATCACCGTGATGAAGGGCAGGGGGCTGAGTATTGATCCCTGATGGACGCCGACGTTAATATCAAATTCATTTGTGTTACCGGCTGTTGTGCTGACCAAAGTTTTTGTGTTAGAAAATGTTGCCATAACCAGCCGAACCAGATATTCGGGAACAAGCTGTCCACGTAGACTCCGCCTGATTGCCTCACGAGGCACTCCGTCAAAAGCCTTTTCCAAGTCCACAAATACATGGAACAGTCGTTTTTGCTTTGCCAAGTATTTTTCCTTCAGTTGACGAATGATATAGATAGCATCAATGGCGGATCTCCCTGCCATAAGGCCGTATTGGTAACCACCTGTTGAAACGCATGACAACAGTCTTCTCTCAATGACTTTTTCAATAACTGTCAAGGGGTGTTCCAGAAGACGTATACTCTGAAATGAGGAGCATTTCAGTGGGTCTCCTTTACCTTTATATATCGGCACAGTTTTGCTACTGTTCCATTCCACTGGTAGTATGGATTTACTCCACATCTCCCGAAAGATGTGTAAGAGGGCTCGGAACTGATCGAAGTAATCTTTCCAGTGATCCTTCACTTCATTCTGCAAGGTTATTATGGTGCCTTTATTATTCTTTATGCATGTGGCACCAACTATATGCTTTATCAGTCTTTTTGCCTGATTTGCTATTAGGTAAAGTGGCCGAATTTGTTCGCTTTCCAGTCAGCCATACATTGCATTGATTTGCTCGAACTATCGTAACCTAACATTTCGCTTCTGTGTTCTTTGATCGGTATGTCTTTCAATCTTCAATAGTCTTCGTCTTCTTCTATTGTTTGAAAGCTGCTTTCTTACTGGAAATAGCATTTTGCACAGTCTCGTTCCACCACCAAGTTTCGCGGTTGTACGGGCGTTTTGTCTAAATTTCATACATACAGCTGTTGCAGAGTTCACTAGGGTGTCCGAAAAGACTTCCAGGTTCTGTCTTCCTTCTCCAGACGATCCAACTCTTCGAATTTCTCCCTGAACATGGAGTTCTTCAGTTTCCATGTCTTTATTCTAGTAGGCATTCGATCAGTCACAGGGCGTGATCGTTCCATGATCATATAGGCCACCTGCAATCGATGTTGAGGGATGCATGCTTTGCCTGGAATGACTTTGGTATTCTTGAATAGTCGTCTGTGACGACAATAAAGTCAATTTGTGTGCATGACATCCCGTTTTTATATGTGATCAAATGTTCTGCCCTCTTCTTGAAGTAGGTGTTCAACAGGGAGAGTTTCAACAGGGAGAGTTCTTGGCTTTCATCAAATTCCAGAATCAATCCGTACACCGTTTTCGTTTTGAGACCCGTAGCCAAAGCCTCCATGGACACCGTGGAGCCCCTTTGCTTTATCTCCAACATGGCCGTTGAGGTCGCCACATATCAATAGTATCTCTGATGATGGTGTTTTCCTGACGGCATCTGAGAGTGTGTTCCAGCAGTAATCTTTCATATTCAGATTCACCGGTCTGTGGTGCATATGCAGAGAAAACAGTCAGAACCTGTTTTTCTATTCTGAGTTTAATCAGCATTAGACGCGAGCTAATTCGAGTCACCTCCAGTACTTTTGTGCCTGTGATTCCCGTATGAAGATTCCCACTCCATTTTGGGCTGTCTTTTTGGCCATTCAAGAACAGCTTGTAACTTCCTATGAGAGAGACACCATTTGATTTTCATCTTGTTTCCTGCAGAGAACAGATGTCAACCCTTCACCTTTCCAGCATATCGACGACCTCCATGGAGCGTCCAGTAAATAAGTAAAGTTTGAATAAGAGAAAATCCTGTAAAAAAATTATCACATGTAATGAATCTTCCGGAACCTTTTAAGTTTTTGTCAAATCCAATACCACTCTTTGTGTCTGATTTTGTTTTCTTAGTTCATCAGATTGTTTACCTAGATAAATTTGTAAACGATTCACATAGTAAGTTTGACAATTACTCATCATCTAAAATTTTAGGCCTTATTTCCACGTTTGATGGGTATATACTGTTTGAAAAAACAGTGACCTCGAAAAGTTGAAAGTTGTTTGTCAACAGTAACATTTTCAAAAGGAACTTAAGCATTTTCTAATGTCTTTTCCCACATATCACAGGGCTCAATTTGTCATTACTTTTTTTCAGCTTTCGTTTTCATTTTTACGCCTTTTATTTTTGCTATAAATAGGCTCACCTTGCCAGAATAAGTTTCCACAATTCTATAAAAATAATTTATTTTTTTCTTTAGAACAATCTTCATCAGGATTATCACTCTCTTCATCTGAAAAACAGTCTTATTTCTATCAATCAATCAATCTTCGTTTTGCGTCCAGAGACCCGGTTTCCCAAGGTAGGACGTTGTTTTCTTTGCCATCAACTTTTTGCGCCAAATTAGACGATCGGTTGTATCCATTTCATTTAAATTTAGAACTTTCATGTCTTGCTCGATTGCTTGCGACCTGGACTTCTTTGGACGGCCTTTGGGACGTGTGCCAGGTACTTCAACATTTGCAAGAGAAGTTATGGCACTGTTTCCGCTTCGTTTGACATGACCAAACCACCGCAGACGGTGTTGCCGGCATTCGTCCTTTATATCATCTAAACCAGCACGACGCAGGATTTCGGTAGATTTGATGTGGTCCTTCAGGCTAATTCGTTGCATCCATCGGAGCATTTTCATGTCGGTTCGTTGAAGTTGTTGTTTCAGTTTGGTTGTCATTGGCCATGTTTCTGCACCATATAACAACACCGGACGTATCACAGATTTATAATGTCTTGATCGTAGTGGTAGTGGGATGTCACGCCGCATCAATATAGAACAAGGAGATGCCATTTATTCCAGGCTGCACGTATGCATGCTCGAACGGCAGCTTCAGCTGTTCCAGTACAATCCAGAACATTCCCTAGATATTGAAACGATGTGACTTTCTCTACCTTAATGGCTTCAAAAACAGTGCTATTTCGAATTTGTTGTTGTGGATTGATGGCTTTGCAAACTGAACAGTGCCATCGTCCAGTAGCTGTGGATTGGATGGATGAACACCAGTGTTCATTTCTTTGGTTTTGTTGATGTTGACTTTGAATCCATGATTGGCAAGTCTGGTGTTCCAATCTTCAAACATCTGTGCTGCATTCTGCTCAGACGTGGCTGTTAAAACGATATCATCAGCATATATTAGATTCCAAATGTCACCAGTGCGTATCGGCTTTGTGACTTCTTCCATCACAGTTATAAATAACAGTGGACTGAGAATCGAGCCTTGGTGAACTCCAACGCCGTTGTCAAATGCATGTGTGTTTCCAACCGTTGTGCTGACGTGAGTATTAGTATTCGTATACATTTCCACCACAAGTCGAACAAGATATTCTGGAATGAGTTGTCGACGTAGACTCCGCCTGGTTGCTTCATGAGGAACTCGATCAAATGCTTTTTCAAGATCTACAAAAATGTGTGATAGTTGTGCGATAGTTTTTTTATTATTTTTTAAAATATATATGAAAACATTGAAAGTTGTTCATGGATAGAATTCTGTTGCAGGATTAAAGTATTTAAAAAATATTCATTAAAAATTTATATTCACAAAAAAGTTTTTTGACATAATAGTTTAATATATTTTAACACTTGAAATACTTGCTCATTGATTTAGGATGCCATGAATGACACATTTTATTTAACAAACGTTGTGCCCCAAGATTTAAACAACAACGCTGAATTCTGGAATCGCATTGAAATACATTGTAGAGGACTGTTGAAGAATTTTAACAGAGTATGGCTGGTGAGCGGACCTATGTTCTTGTCAAGATCGCAAGGAAATAAAAAATTTATTGAATACGAGGTAAATGAATTTAAAAAAATTATTTTTCTTATTAAATTTTTTTTAAATTTTCTTTAGAGAGGCTCAAGTTTTTTTTCATTTTGCTTTTCAATTCCTAATAATATACTTTAACGACGAAGAATTGTGAATTTTGTTACTAGATGTTTATCTGCTACATATTTATGAAAATCAACCTCTTAATCATTTATATATTACAATATTACAAATAAATGTATTCATTCATAGTATAGCTGATTTTAATGATTCCTCAAGTAATGCATATATATATACATATATATATATATATATATATATATATATATATATATATATATATACATATACATATACATATATAATTTGGTACGAGGTTTTCAGAAAGACAAGTTCGATTAAAAATAATACCCCAATTTGTAGTTATTTGATTTTAAATAAGACTTCAACAAAACGTAATTTATCAGACATAAATAAATATGAGTCTGATAAATTACGTCTCATTGAAGTCTTATTTAAAAAGCATATAACTACAAATTGGGGTATTATTTTTAATTGAATCAATCAATCAATCTTTGTTTTGCGTCCAGAGACCCGGTTTCCCGAGGTAGGACGTTGTTTTCTTTGCCATCAACTTTTTGTGCCAAATTAGACGATCAGTTGTATCCATTTCATTTAAATTTAGAGCTTTCATGTCTTGCTCGATTGTTTGCTACCAGGACTTCTTTGGACGGCCTTTGGAACGTGTGCCAGGTACTTCAACATCTGCAAGAGAAGTTATGGCACTGTTTCCACTTCGTTTGACATGACCAAACCACTGCAGACGGTGTTGCCGGCATTCGTCCTTTATATCATCTAAACCAGCACGACGCAGGATTTCGGTAGATTTGATGTGGTTCTTCAGACTAATTCGTTGCATCCATCGGAGCATTTTCATGTCGGTTCGTTGAAGTTGTTGTTCCAGTTTGGTTGTCATTGGCCATGTTTCTGCACCATATAACAACACCGGACGTATCACAGATTTATAAAATCTTGATCGTAGTGGTAGTGGGATGTCACGCCGCATCAATATAGAGAAGGAGATGCCATTTATTCCAGGCTGCACGTATGCGTGCTCGAACGGCAGCTTCAGATGTTCCAGTACAATCCAGAACATCCCCTAGATATTGAAACGATATGACTTTCTCTATTTTAATGGCTTCAAAAACAGTGCTATTTCGAATTTGTTGTTGTGGATTGATGCAAGCAAGACAAACAAAATTGGACACTTTAGATAAAGAACCAATTATTTTTGAACAACGTTTGTGACACCACTGGTTACACTGCTGACACTTGATTGAATTGTTACCTACACCAGCTTTACAAACTGAACAGTGCCATCGTCCAGTAGCTGTGGATTGGATGGGTTCACCAGTGTTCATTGCTTTTGTTTTGCTGATGTTGACTTTGAATCCATGATCGGCGAGTCTGGCGTTCCAATCTTCAAACATCTGTGCTGCATTCTGCTCAGACGTGGCTGTTAAAACGATATCATCAGCACATACTAGATTTCAAATGTCACCAGTGCGTATTGGTTTTGTGATTTCTTCCATCACAGTTATAAATAACAGTGGACTGAGAATCGAGCCTTGGTGAACTCCAACGCCGATGTCAAATGCATCTGTGTTTCCAACCGATGTGCTGACAAGAGTTTTAGTATTCGTATACATTTCCATCACAAGTCGAACAAGATATTCTGGAATGGGTTGTAGACGTAGACTCCACCTGATTGCTTCACCTGATTGCTTCGATCAAATGCTTTTTCAAGGTCTACAAAAATGTGTGATAGTTGTTGATGCTTTGCGAGGTATTTTTCTTGCAGTTGCTGAAGGATGTGAATTGCATCAATTGTTGATTTCCCCGCTAGAAAACCAAATTGATAATTTCCGATTGTGATGCACGACGCTAATCTTCTCTCAATGATTTTCTCCACAATTTTCAGGGTGTGTTCTAACAGACGTATACCCCGATATGATGAACAGTTCAATGGATCACCTTTGCCTTTGTATAGAGGAACTGTCATGCTATAGTTCCATTCAGTCGGCATTGAGCAATTTCTCCAGATTTCACGGCAAAGTTGTAGTAACGTTTGGATACCTGCAGTACCAGATGCTTTGATAATGTCATTTGTGAGTTCAGAAGGCCCTGCTGCCTTTCCATCCTTCATAGCTTTCATGGCTTCTGTAAGCTCCTCTACAGTGATGTCTGGAATCGGACCTTCGATGGGTGGAACGTCAAAGTTAACATTGATTGGATTTGTTTCGTTTAACAGACGGTTGAAGTATTCTCTCCATTGTAGCTTGATCTCATCTCGTTCAAGAATCGTCTCATTTTTGTCATTTTTTATACATGAGGCACCAACTATGTCTTTTTTCGTACGCTTTGCTTGTTTTGCTATACGATACAGAGATTTCATTTGTTCACTTTTGCTTTTAGTGAGCCACTCTCTGCACTGATCTGTCCGAGCCAGTGCAACTTGACGTCTTTCATAGTTGTTCTTCTCACGGAAAATTTGATGGTCATCAACAGACTTTGATTTTTGCCATTGCTTGTATGCAACTTTCTTTTCAGCTATTGCATTTTGTACACTGTCGTTCCCCCACCAAGTGTCACGTTCATGCTGACGTTTTGTACCAGTTTTTCCACAAACTGTAGTTGCAGCGTTTATCAAAACGGTTTTGTAAGTACTCCAATCTGTACTGGCTTGCGATTGGTGGTCTAACTGTGTTGCGACGATCTGTTGAAATTTTTCTCGATAAATATTGCTTTTCAGCTTCCACGGTTTGATTCTCCGAAGCATTTGTTTAGACTTATGTTTTGACAGTTCGACAACCAGGTCTGCCACAAGGAGTCTATGTTGGGCGACACATGATTCGCCAGGTATAACTTTGACGTTTTTGAATAGCTTTCGGTGTTGTTGCTTGACAGCGAAGAAATCAATTTGCGTGGCTGATGGTCCACTTTTGTATGTTATGAGATGTTCCAACCTCTTTCTAAAATATGTGTTCAGTAAACAAAACCCGTGACTTTCAGCAAACTCAAGGATGCGGTTGCCATCTTCATTCCGTTTTCCATAGCCAAAACCGCCATGTACGTTGTCAAAACCATCTGTTTTCTCTCCAACGTGGCCATTGAGATCGCCTCCAATCAGGATTGTTTCAGATTTTGGTATTGTTGAGATGGTGTCAGAGAATGCAGTCCAGAAGTCATTTTTCATCTCTAATGATTCGCCTGTCTGTGGTGCGTATGCAGAAAAAATAATCATTGTTTGCTTTTTTATGCGAAGCTTGATCCACATAAGACGTGAATTAATCCTTCTACTATCCAGTACTTCTTGGGCTAGCGGTTCTCTGACAAAAATTCCAACACCATTTTTGGCCGTCTTTTGACCATTCCAGAATAGTTTATATTTTTCTTTGTCTGAGTTGACATGACAGACACCATTCGATTTCCATCGGGTTTCCTGAAGGCAGCAGATGTCAATCCTTATACGCTCGAGCATTTCTGCGATTTCCATGCTGCGGCCAGTCAGTGATCCAACATTGAGCGTTCCAAGTCTAAGTACCATAGAGGGGCCATTCTGAATTTTTCTGCAACATCCCTCCGCTATTGCTTACTTCCCAGGGATTCTTGGCACCCCTTGACCACTTAAGGCCTGCTGGGGACTAGGGGCCGTTGTTTTTCTTTGTGATGGCATAGGAATAATTTGGGGAAAAGTTTTTACATCCGGACACCCATCCTGACGACAACCACCAGTTATAAGCGGTGGGCCTAGCCTTTCGCTCAAAAGCACGCAAGGCAGCGTGGATGCAGTTTTATGTCATACACAGGACGTATTTTTTTTTTTAATTGAATATATATATATATATATATGTGTGTGTGTGTGTGTGTGTGTGTGTGTGTGTGTTGTGTGTGTGTGTGTTTTTTCGTTTTTTTTTGATTTTTCTCATTTAAGTTTTTTTTGGAGAACGTTTAGTTTATTAAAATTCAAATATTTTTCGAATTCATGCTGCAATTCCGAATGAATCATCATCAGTGCAAGTTGATTTATATAGGGAAATATTTACTTTGTGAAAATGGACCTAGATGGAAATTAGGTGTCAGATTTCTTTATTGGCTGGTCCATCTTCGTTGGTTTTTTTTTCTTCATCGATAGCATCATATTCTTTTTTGTTAATATTTACAATGCTAGTTTTTATTATTTCTTTGTTTTCATTGTTGATTATTAATACAAAGAAGTAATAAAAATTAGCATTCTGCAAGGTCATTATAGTGCCTTTATTATTCTTTATGCATGTGGCACCAACTATATCCTTTAACAGTCTTTTTGCCTGATTTGCTATTCGGTAGAGTTACCGAATATGTTTGCCTTTACTTCCAGTCAACCAAACATTGCATTGATTTGCGCGAGCTGTCTCAACCTGACATTTTGCTTCTGTGTTCTTTGATCGGTATGTCTTTCGATCTTTAATAGTCTTCGTCTTCTGCCATTGTTTGAAAGCTGCTTTTTTACTGGCAATAGCAGCGTTCACTAGGGTGTCTTGAGAAGATTTCCAGGTTACGTCTACCTTTTCCAGACGATCCAACTGTGCCGATACCAACACTCAGAATTTTTCCCTCGAACATGGGGTTCTTCAGTTTCCATGTCTTTATTCTAGTAGGCATTCGATCATTCACAGAGTGTGATCGTTCCTTGATCATATCGCAAACGATGTGATGTCTGTGTGTGTGTATGACATCTCACATTTATATGCAAAAGAACAGTCAAAATCTGTTTTCCCATTCTGAGCATTAGGCGTGAGCTGATTCGAACCACCTCCATCGGGTTCATTTTTTCCAGCTTGAAGTCCTTGCCGCAAAGTATTGAAGGATGCATGAATACCTTTTTTAGAAGGTTTAATTCAGGAAGAATACACAAATATTACTAGAATATAAAACAAGAAACAACAAATATGGTTCTATGAAATTAAAGGAATACAAAAACACCGCTTATATCAATTCATAGAATGTTTGCTGCTCGGATGTTTTTTTTTGTTATATAGAAATTATTTTGGTTCTGTAGAAACAGTTTTATTTGTAATATTCTCAGGGACATAAAAAAATTCGTTTTATAGATATTTTCGTTGTGTTTCTACATTCATTATAACGAGATCTGACTGTATATAATAAGCTTGAACAAACTTTTTTTGTAATATTATATAATATATATAGTATATAATAACTTTTTATTTGTAATATTCTCAGGGACATAAAAAAATTCGTTTTATAGATATTTTCGTTGTGTTTCTACATTCATTATAACGAGATCTGACTGTATATAATAAGCTTGAACAAACTTTTTTGTTTTAAGGTGATAGGAAAGTCCGAAGTTGCAGTTCCAACTCATCTTTATAAAGTTGTTTTGGCAGAGAAAAATGATAAAATTGCTATGGGATGTTTTGTTGTGCCTAATAAACCAATTCCTAGAGAGCAGTCATTGAAAGAACATCAGGTTTGTTAAATCTGTACAACGTGATCAGAAATTTTTTACGACGTTATTCTTTTTTTACTTTTTATGCAAAATCTTCCCTGTCTTATGGTTAAAACAAATTTTTATTGTACGAATCTAAATTAAAATTTCACTGATAACTTATGTTTAACAATAACATAATGATTAATTCTTATTTCAAACATTTTCATATATTGTGTTTTGTGATAAATAGGTTCCTCTAGAGTTTATTGAGGCGAAAACAGGCTTCACATTTTTTCCAAAGCTTGAACAAAGAGCTGTGGAGGATCTTTGCAAAATTGGAGGGTGTCAAATGAAGACTGCACAGGAATTTGAACTTTATTACCTTACAAAACAAATGGATTCTGCAAGAAATTTAAATCATTTGGAAAAATTGTGGAAACAGATCGGTGCAAAGAGTTTAAAACCTGATGCTGAAGCCTCAAATGTATATAACAGAAAAAAGAGTGAATTTAAAAAATTAGATAATTTTCAAATTGTAAAAAGATCGGAACAAACTAGAAAAGGATAAGACGTTGCAATATTATTGTCTTGTGATCGTTTGTTTTGTATATCACTTTTTTTTATACCAACATGGAAGCATGTACATTCACACATATTTTTTCGAATTTATTTGTATAGATTTTAAATATTAAAACTATAGTAATTCTAAATCTACAAATAATGCATTGACGATAACGATTTAACGTCAAAATAGATCTATTTGCAATAATTTTAATAAAATATTTGTTAATAGAAATAAAGTTTCAATTTTAAACAGACTTAATTTTGTTGTATTGTAGAGCGCCTCTATTGAGTTATCTTCAGAGGGGCTATATATATAAGAATTGAGAGGACTCATATTGTCTCTTAACAATAACACAAATGTTCTTTACAAAAACTCCGATTATTTCACCTTAAAGATAGCCGAAGCCATATTAATAGAAATAAAAAATCCAAAATTAAATGTTCAGCTACAAAGTATAACAGTACTTCCGACTCACAAGCAGTTATCTAAACTAATTAATAATTCTCTCACCACCAATAACAACCACGTTACCACCACCAACAACAATGTTACTACCAACAACAATGTTAACCATGTTAGAGATGCCAACGACCATGACCACAACACCAACAATAATGTTAATAATTGTAGCAACAACACCAATACTAATGTTAACAACAACAACATCATCATTGTCAATAACAACAGCAGCAGCAACAATAACAACAACAATAGTAATAATAATGATAATAACAACTACAACAACAATAGTAATAATAATAACAATAACAATGATAATAATATAAACTTGGAAACATGAATATTGTAGTATGATGATATGGCTGATTTTTGTTTTTTATTTGTTGATTTACTTTATGGTCGATTTTTCAGCAATTTTTTAAAATTTTAATTTATTTTGTTTAATTCTAATATATATCTATGTAAATAATTTAAAGTTAATTTTATCAATATGTTAAATATATAGTTTATAGAAATTAATAATAATATTTTCAAAAATGTTTCGCGCTTAAAATTAAGTTATACAGTATGACGTCATTTGTTTATAAACGGTAATTTTCGTTATTATTTAAAATATTTTGCACTGACGATGA